GTGGATAGCTGCAATTTTCGGGCATATTTGGTTTTTCATATCTAGTGAATTATTTTCTCTACTAATTGGCACATTTTTTCATACAAATTAACAATAGCTTCCTTAAAATCATATATTTTCTATAGATACGACGTTTTCGTCTAGTAATATATTCATACAACTTGTATATGTTTAGCAATGTAACAATTGCCACTTTTTTACTTTAATACCTGATGTTGGCTACTAATACTGAACCTCGAACTTTTCTACTGAGATAGCGACAAATTTATATTTTATATAAATTTATTTTGCGATATCAATTAGAAAATACAAATCAGCGCCCAGATGTGAAAACTTTTTAGGAGTGATTCATCATTCCTATTTTTTCTTTGATGTGGCTTGATTACCCACAACGCGGCACGGTGGTGGTTTCCTGTAATGCTTCTCAAAGTGTTTGAAAGCGCAAAAAAACAGAGAAAATCGTAATTTATAAGCTTGAACATAACCTCTCTTTAGAAAGGACAATATAAGTAACTCGCCTGGTGCAGCCAATAGATATGTCACATACGAACCGCAGTTTCATGAGTATAGTCTGCAGACTATCTTGGCATTCTGCAACCAACAAAGCAATCTCAGCAACTGACTTGCAGCTGGTCATTGAACATGACGTTGAGTCATTCCCTCACAGATGGCACTTCTGGTGATGCTCACAGCGAGGAATAGCGGAATTAACTATTTGCATATTAGGAACTACCTCGTCAGCAAGTTGACATTTTGCCGTTTTTTTTGACATTATATATGTTTTTACGTAATAATTCTGTCTGTCAAAATATCATGACATGTAGCTAGCCTTTTGAATGTACTGTAACAGTAGCACACAGTAGATATACAGGGCTTTGAGTGCTTCCTTAAAATCATATATTTTCTATAGATACGACGTTTTCGTCTAGTAATATATTCGTACAACTTGTATATAGTCAACGCCAAACAAAGTGGCGTGCACGTCATCACGATAAAAATTCCCCGACCTAATGCCTAGGTTTCTATCACAAACAATTGCTCTATTGCAGTTTCATATTAATGTGATATATAAATTGTAAAATGGTCATTACTCTCTTATTATGGTTAATAGTCATATAAACATTGTTATTAAAATATCACATAAGTTGCTTTGTGATAAATTTAGACGCATTATGCGAAATAAAATGTTTTGCAAACGCTCCAATCACTTATCGACATGTAAACGCACTAAACCGATTTCGCAGCGTTGACACATTGTCACCTTGAAACTTATTTAAACTGGGAACTGACATTTGTATTAATTTTGACACTGAATCAATTTGTGGCATTTCAAATCTTTATAAATCCTTTGGCCCCGCATACTGTAAATCAACAACTGTTTGTTTCAAAACAAAATTATTCATTTTACGAGTAGATAAAGGCAATTTTGGTATATAAAGATGCCCAAACAGTTAAATAGTCGGTGTAAGGAACTCGTGGCCTCGTTAATGCACTACTTTGAGCAAGAAAGGGACAACAACGGGCCTTTGTTGCCTTTAAATGCTGTTCAAGAGGTAGGTTACTAATAATTATATGTAATGTATATTAATAATAGTGAAATTTTATTTCATTTTTTGTAGCGTGTTGCTGCTGCTTTAAAAATTAGTTTAAGGACAGTTAGTCGTATTTCCGAGGGTGTGAAAAGTGATGCAAATTTAGAATCGCCCAAGAAAAAGCGGAGTTATATTAAACGTGTAACCAACACAGCGACATTGGATACAAGTGCCATTCGAGAAGTGATCTATAATATGTATCACAAAAGTAAGATCTTATTATAATAACTTATCAGAAATTTGCATTAATTTGTTAACTAAATTATAATGTCATATTACACATGGTTTCAGAAGAACAAGTTACGATACAAACTTTATGGTCTCGATTAAGAGATAGGGCATTATTTGATGGTAGTGCCACGTCTTTAAGGCGGTTGCTTAGAGATCTTGGATTTAAGTGGCTTAAGGACAATCCGCGACGAGGGCTCATGGAACTACCAAGTATAGCTTTGAAAAGGGTGGAATTTCTAAGGCAATACAATCAAGCCAAGGTTGAGGCCTTATACCAGTTTGTCTTCCTCGATGAAACTTGGATATTTCAAAATGGGACCATAGGTCGCTCTTGGCAAAATGGAAACCAAAAAAGCGTGAAAGCTATTAAAACAGATGGTAAAAGGTATGTACTTTTACACAATTTGCACTATAAAATTTAAAACTAATATATTTTAGATACATTATACATGCTGGAAATGAAAATGGGTTTATTTAGGGTAGTGAAGCGATATTTTCTTCGAAAACAAAATTGAGCGATTACCATGGAGAGATGAACCAGGACAATTTTTTGAAATGGTTTCAACATCAGTTATTAGAAAAATTGGAGAATCCATCTATGATTATACTGGATAACGCCCCTTATCACAGCATGATATTGAACAAAGTGCCCAACAATGCATGGACAAAAAAAAATATCCAAGACTGGTTGACAAATCAAAACATACCATTTTTAAACACAATGTTTAAAACAGAGCTATTGAGTATTGTTGCTCGGTACATAATGCTTCTTAATTATATATATTTTGGTCGACAGTTTATATTTCTTTTGTTTATTCCTATTCTTAAAATAACTGCTTTTTTAGAAACAAACCACCTAAAATATACGTGATTGATGAATTGGCGGAACAACATGGGCACAAAGTTCTTCGTCTGCCTCCTTACCATTGTATATTTAACCCTATTGAGTTAATTTGGGGCATAGCAAAAGGTTACTATAACAGACATATTGGTAGAGATGGTAACAGTGAAAAAGACTGTTTGGATATGTGGAACGAGGCTCTACAAACGGTTACCCCAGACATGTGGAAAAATAGTGTTCGACATACTGAGCAAGAAATTTTTAAATGGTATGAAAGAGAACGAATTTTTGATCGACCAGACATCGAACCTTTAATAATCAACTTTGAGAGTGATGAAGATTCAGATTCAGACAGCGCTGAAGAAAGAAACTCCGACTTGTTGTGCAGAAAAAGCTTACACCAGTAGCTTACCTAATTTTAGAATGCATTTTTCTGTATGAATTCTGTAAAATAAATACCATGCATAAAATTTGGAGGACCCCATTTGGATTTTTATTCAGTACCTTTAAGCTATCAATTAAATATGGTAGTTTCATAGTGTCATCTGATCAATAATTGTCATACTTAATGATTATGCAAGTACAGATCTATAATTTTATTATACTATTATTTTTGTTCTCATTTGAGGTTAATATTGCTTATAAACCTAGATATGTAAATAATAAATTTTATTATTTTACAAAAAGTTTGGCAACAATGTAAATTTTTCAACACACCCACCTTGATGACGTGCACGCCACTTTGTTTGGCATTGACTATATGTTTAGTAATGTAACAATTGCCACTTTTTTACTTTAATACCTGTATGTTGGCTACTAATACTGAACCTCGTACTTTTCTACTGAGATAGCGATAAATTTATATTTTATATAAATTTATTTTGTGATATCAAGTAGAAAATACAAATCAGCGCTCAGATGTGAAAACTTTTTACGAGCGATTCGTCATTCCTAATTTTTCTTTGATGTGGCTTGATTACACACAACGCGGCGCGGTGGTGGTTTCCTGTAATGCTTCTCAAAGTGTTTGAAAGCGCAAAAAAACAGAGAAAATCGTAATTTATGAGCTTGAACATAACCTCTCTTTAGAAAGGATAATACAAGAAACTCGTCTGGTGCAGCCAACAGATATACTTCAGTAATACCTTTCTCACATAGCAAATGTCACATACGAACCGCAGTTTCATGTACTTGCAAACATATTCGACTGTGTAGCCCATGGACTCACATAACAGACCAATACACACAATCATCCAGATTTAATCTTGCTACTCTTCGACTCAATCACACATCTTCTCAGAGTATAGTCTACAGACTATCTTGGCATTCTGCAACCAACAAAGCAATCTCAGCAACTGACTTGCAGCTGGTCATTGAACATGACGTTGAGTCATTCCCTCACAGATGGCACTTCTGGTGATGCTCACAGCGAGGAATAGCGGAATTAACTATTTGCATATTAGGAACTACCTCGTCAGCAAGATGACATTTTGTCGTTTTTTTTTTGACATTATATATGTTTTTTACGTAATAATTCTGTCTGTCAGAATATCATAACATGTAGCTAGCATTTTGAATGTACTGTAACAGTAACACACAGTAGATATACAGGGCTTTGAGGGCTTCCTTAAAATCATATATTTTCTGGAGATACGACGATTTCGTCTAGTAATATATTCGTACAACTTGTATATGTTCAGTAATGTAACAATTGCCACTTTTAACTGAAAGCTCTCCAGCTGAGAGTCGTCACTATCTTAACCCCCTTAAATATTGACATAGAATTAGGAAACAGCCTATGTATTTGTCTCCATGCGTAGATCAGAGCTTGAGAACATTCTTGGTTTAAAACGTATTTGTCATGAGCTACTTGGTAACAACAGAGATTTGTGAGTCATTGCAAAAGAAACGAGGCAGACGACGGTAAACTGAGTACACACTTTCCTAAGTATTATTAAATAGAAAGTTAAATTCAGTTTACTATAAAAGAAGACTCGTTTAGAAGTTACAGTGAAGGCGGTCGCTTTACCAATTACGGCGAAATGCCAGCCGTGTTGACAGCACGGAAGTTATCCGGTTTACTTTCAGGTATTTCTTACTGTTAATTATATTCATTTTCTTCTTCCACCCTGCTGACTCCCAGATGGAGTTGATTTTATTCTTGTCACAGTAACTATCAACGTTTATCTTTCCAGAGGGACATTATGAAACAATTGAATGGAACAGAGTTTTGTATAAGTTTCCGGACTCTGTTTTCTCATTTCGAAGAAGTTGTCTTAGACGTATATAGTTTAAACAAGAATGTTATATATAGTTGACCTACAGATATTCCCTACCGTTAATAATATTTATTTTATTCTTCTGCTCTGTCAGCTTCTGGATGTAGTTGATCTTATTCTTGTTGGAGTTACTTCCAGAGCTCATTTTTCTGGGAGAACATTATGAGAATGAAAAACAGTGCCGATCTTTAATTTGGTCTACCACTGGGTAAATTTGACTCTCACCACTGAGATCTCGGAAACGTTTAGATATACGAAGTCAGTTGAATTGCAGCGTGTGAATTCAGACAAATAAGAAAATGGAACATAGAAAGTTTCGCAATTCTAATATTTCCGTAAATGGAAGAAACAGATTTTTTGCCACTTTTTATCCTCTACGAGAGAAATTCTTTTTTTTTTAATTTCAAATAATAAGGTTCTTCAATGTCAATGTATGACATATTACACATTTTTGAGATCAGAATTTAAAATAAAAAATAAAACTGGTTTTGAAATTTTGCCATCATTTAACCCATCTCGCATGTCTTATCGTTTCGAATGGTAAGAGTCGAATTTTAAAAACCCGATATAAGTTTGATCTTTTGTCGCTCACCGGATATGATTTAATTTAAAAGTAACCATTTCGTAACTATAAAAAATCTTGATCATATGTGTAGGTATATTTGAAGAAGATGGAATAGGTAAAGTATTTTGGAAAACGCAGACAAGTAGTTCATTCGACATTTAGCAGAAAATTGGATACTTTCGTTTATGAAGAAGCTGGCAGAAATGTGTGCTCATTCAATGCAAATAATGCTTGTTGCTATACACAAGATTATAGACCAAAGTTGTCTGACCCCTAGCCATCAGGCCATAGTGTGAACAAGACAATCTCACTATAGTTTCCAGCGAAGATTGGGTTGCTTGCTGTATCATTGATATGACTATGACAAACGGAAATATATCACAGAAATCACACTTAATTCACTAACGCGCGGGGGTAATAATAATTTTTTGCTTATTCGGTTTTTATGGATGGCGGACTTCTATCAAAGATCCGTACTTGGGAGGTCGGACTCCAGAATACCCAGGACTTGTATGAGCATACCTCATTAATAGCATCAGCTACTAGGAAAAAACTAGGCTATTTATTTAGACCTAAGAATTACTTTTCTCAATACGACCTCCTCACACTATACAAGACCCAGATAAGACCTAGCATCGATGATTGCTGACTTGTTTGCGGTGCTGCTGCCTCGACTACATTGTTCATGCTTGGTGCTGTTAAGAAGAGTAATGCTCAACTGATCTATGACTCTTCTCTAACAGACCGTCCCTACCGCTACGCCAACGGACTTTGCTACTCAGAGCTCTCTTCCATGATGCCGCCGCGCGATGTGCCTGCTAGGCAGACCCGATTGACTTCAGTCTCCCATCTTGTCAAACCGTTTCAAACTTCGAAAAAAGCCGTGAAATGGGTTTTCAGTTAATTTGCTTGTAACTATTAAATCTTTCACTTCATCAAGGAATTGACTTTTCTAACCGTACTTGCTTAATAAAGTTAGTGACTATGGATGGTGGCGGTTGTGAAAATCTTTTTCCAGGTAATTTCCCATAATCCCTATTTCCGTGCGGAACGGCGTGCCGTAACCCACTTTTCCCCCAAACGGCTACCCTCTGAATCCAATTTACCCTCCACACAAACTTTCCTCAACTTGCGCCCTCTCCCTCCCGCTACTCTCAGCTAAGACACTAAGGAAAGGTAAAGATTTACGTTCCTAGAACAGTCACATCAGGGTTTTAAAAGCATTCTGGATAACAGCTGACCATGTAAGATCATTTACACAACACGAACATAGTTTCATACAGTTAGACCGAAAACAATAAACATTATACAGGATGCTTCCTAAATTGAAATCTCTTAATATCATCCAAACCATTATTGTATACATAATAACAATAATAATAATAATAATAATAATAATATCACACCACAGTCTAGAACAATCCAGAACTACTAGGTCTAAATCCTCACATACATACAAAGCAGTTATAATCAGCACCACAACAATTGTAAGAAAATTTTTACAAACGGAATTAGTTGTACAGGGCTTAAAAATTTTAACTGACAATGGGTATCGAGTAATCGCTTGTTTGGAAAGTGTTTCAAAGTCCTTTATTTTGATGTTTGATTTTTTTTTAATCGGTTGTTTCGTTTTCAAGAAAATGAGAAAAATCTTTATTTATCTTAATTTGTTCAGATAGAAAAGAAAAAAATATAACTTTTAAGTGTTCAAAATGTTGCCTGTTATTGGCCAAACAATGATATAGATGATGTTCAAACTTTCAGGTTGTGGAGTAAATACAATAGCTTTCAAATGGCCCCATAAAAAAAGTCTGAAGGCGTCAAATCAAGAGATCATTCTATAGGCCCTCTTCGCCCTATCCATTTATCTGGAAACTCGTCGTCTAGCTATTGCCGAACCGGAAGAACATAGTGAGGAGGAGCGCCGTCTTGCTGGGAATATATTTCAGCCTCATCAAGTATAGGGTTTCCATCCTCTTCGATTTGGTTTTCACTGGTTTCAGTGATAAGCGGATTGATGGTATTTTTCAACACATCCATATAAATGTCTTCATTCAAATTTCCATTAATAAACAACTTTGTCTCCTAAAATGAATATCAAAATCATCTTCGGGTAACTTTTGCAATATTTTTATTTTGAATGAAAGAGCCTAATGAAATACCAGACGCAGCAACAATTTTGCGTAATGAAGTATTAGGATTTATTCCACAAAGATCCAAAACTTCAACTTGAGCGGCTTCATCCCAAACTCTCAGATGATCACGTTTTCTATTTGCAACAGATCCAGTTTGAGTAAATTTAGTATCAAGGTCCAAAACATAACATGGCGAAGTTATTTTCCCCTGATGTCTGGCGTTGAACGTGACGGCAGTTTGCCGAGCACATTGATTTTGGTCACCATAAATTAGAATCAATTCCACCCTTTTGGCTAATGTGCAAACCATTTTGGAGGCAAATCTGAATCAATCAATTAATTATCACTATCCCAAGATTGTTACAAAGGTAACTGACAGCAAATTATATTCTTTCTTTCCCTTAGCAACAAATAACTAAACAGGCATAACAATAAATGCACTTCGCCAAGGATGAAAGGAATACGGAAGAAAATTCGGGTTGTTATTTGATTGTTGCCACATCTAATCTTAAAAATTGCTGTTTATGTTGATAGTTTCCGTTTTAAATTATAAATGAATTGTACATTTGGCAAACCCTAACGGGCAACACTTATTGAATTAAAAAGTGATATTTTCGTGTGTTTTTGTTTTCTATCTGAACAAATTAGGATAAATAAAGATTTTTCTGATTTTCTTGAAAACGAATCGACCGATTTAAGAAAATCAAACGTCAAAATATAGGACTTTGAAAGACCTTTCAAACAAGCTATTACGCTATACCCCTTGTCATTTAATATTCTTAAGGGAATGATCTTAAGGGGTCAAAGGTGAAAGGGGGTGGAGTAGTTTTTGGTTAAAAGGTTGTCTTCCTTGACAAATCCTTTGACCTGTCTCGGCGTTTTTTCTTTCAATCAGTGGTTTTCGATAAATCTGTAGTGGGAGGTTTTCAAATGAACATGTATGAACTTGATTAAGCTCGTTCATGTATCATATTTACCAGACTAAAGTCTGTGCAAAACTTCTGGTGAAACATAATAATAATAATAATAATAATTCATACTGTAGGATCATCAAGCGGCGTCAAAGAGTACATAAAATTGAAATCATTTACATATAAGTTAAAGTATAAAAATAAATAAGTAAGTTAATAACAAATGTTACATATAGTAGTTACAGAAAGACAAACACTATACAAATAAGACGACATAAAATTATTAAAAGCTAAGACTAGTATTTAAACAATAAAACGTTATAGTCCAGGCGATATGGACTTGTCTAATAAATACTAAAAAACACTACAAACTAATGAATTCAGCAACATAATGAAAACACCTATCACTAAGCAAAGCTTTCAGTCGTTTCTTGAAAATGTTATTTGATTCTGTGTTCCTGATTTCACTCGGATGAGCATTCCAAAATTCTAGGGCTCAAAATAGTGCCTGCCACTCAATTTGTATTTAACATAGGGAACATGTAACTGGTGTCTCTGCTCAATATTTCCAGATGACTCACTGTAACATCACAATTTGCCGTTTAACATAACGTCTCTTCAGTACACTTCTTGCTTAATACAAGATAGTTCAACAGCATCATATGAACAAGTAAAAAAAATGGGAAAGCAGTCTTCCTAAGATGTCTATATTATTGTAAAATAAGATAAAGATGAGAAAACAGCAGCCTCACCTTACAAGCGTTCGAAATGCTACTCAGTACCTTTTCGCTTTTATTACGAGAATAGTACATAAACAACTAAACAAGGGCTTAATTGTCAGGATGATCTCAAAGCCACTTAATTGGTGACGTAACGATAAGGGAGTGGCCCTTTCTTGGCGATAGATGGGGTCGTTAGAACTAGGTTGTCGGGGTCGAGCCTATTTTTGGGAAAAACCTTCTGAGTACCTTCCATATTCTACCGACTCGTGACATGCACAAATCTACTGTCTATTCATTATGTTAATTTAATGTCTTGATACTGATCATAAAACAATCAATACTGGCCACAATACTCAATTACAATATGTATTAGAAATTATAACACATTGCAAGGTGGAACGGTAGCAACCTACAACATAAATGTCACACTCATGTCCATAACCAGGAAACGGTCGTTTCCTACCGCAAAGAAGTCACGACTGATATGGAAATACCTTGCATGGAGGGACGATAGATTCCTACCACATGGAAGTCACACCCGATATGGATATCTTAATAATCTGGTGCTTAGATAGATATCAATTATATTGATTGTTACGAAAAGTAGTCCAGAAACCAGGATACCACGTTGCCGTGCCAATATCCAAAAACTCCGACGTTACCTCTGATTCAGAGATCACCGAGCACCGTGACAATTTTAAAGAAACAATCCCTATACACATCCTGCCATGAGATATTTTCAGACTCCAGCGATTTCCCAGACGGTAGCTAAGCGGTCACACAGACCTAGGATACCATGTCGGCAAAGGCCG